TCCTAGTCTGTTGAGGAATCTCCACACTGTTTGCCAGTCTGTATTTTACGGCATTAATAAAACCTGAACAAATTTCCATTGGTAGATGTCATGATTATGGACCATGACTTCTGAATAGGTTAGAAGTTATTAACAAAAAGATAAATTTAAGAAATCAAAGCATGTTTGGTAATTTTTAATTGTATTGTTAAATAGTTCATGAGGTAAGGAATAAATTTAGTGAGACCTAGACCTGAATGATAATGAAATCACTACGTATCAAAATTAGTGATACATGATTAAAGTGGCAATATGAGAAAAACATTTATCATTAATTATCTATATGAGAAAGGAATAAAACTATAGTCAAATGAACAACAGTAAATCCAGTGAAAAGAGAAAGGAAACATAATTAAAATAAAAGTGGAAACTAATGCAGGAGAAAAAATACAGTAGAGGAGATCAACAAATTCAAAAATTTGTTTTTTGGAAACAAATTAACAAAGTAGACAAACTGTTGACAAGACTGATTAAGAGAAGAAAAATAAAACCTACATTTTATGAATGAAAAATTGAGCCTATAACTGTAGATAAGATAGAGGTTACAAGGTAATGCAAGATTCCTAGGTAATAAAAGATGCCTAGGTAATTCAGTGGGGACAGAACAGTCTTTTTCTAAAAAATTGAGATATGATTTACATATAACATTATATTGGTTTCAGGAATACAACATAATGATTCAATATTTGTATCTATTGCAAAATGATCACCACAGTAAGCCCAGTTAACACCCAGGGAATAGTCTTTTTGACAAATAGTGCGTAAACAACTGAACACCTGTATCTAAAACTTGAAAAGTAGAACCTTGATTCTTACCTTACACCCTGCGCAGTTTAACTCTAAATGAATCATAGACATAAATGTAAAAGTTGTAAACTTCTTCTGGAAACTTTGGGTTTGCAACCTTGAGCTAGGTAAAGATTTCTTGGGTTGGATACAAAAAGCATGAACCATAAGAGAAAAAAAAGTTGATATTGGACTTCAAAAGTTAAAACTTTCACTTTTCAAAAGATACCATTAAGAAAATGAAAAGTCAATACACAGTGGGAGAAGTTATTTGCAGCACTCTTATCTGAAAAAGGACTGTATCTAGAATTTTTACAACACAGTAAAGTCAGAAACATGTATGTGTATATATGTATATGAATATGTGTGTATTTATGTATGTGTATTTACATATATGTGTGTGTGTAAATGGCGAATATGGATCTACAAATAGATATATGTGGCAAGTGATTTGAACAGACATGTCCCAAAAGATGATGTGCAAATGATCAATAAGCACATGAAATGCTGCTCAGCGTTATTAGGCAAATTAAAAGCACCAATGTCCCACCACTGCACACCTACTAGAATAGCTAAAATAAAAAAGATGAGCAACACCAAGTGCTGATAAGGTGTGGACCTACTCACACATTGCTGATGGGAGTGTGAAATGGCTTAGTCACTTTGGAGAACAGTTTGGTTATTTCTTAGGCAGTTAAACATACACTTACCATGTGACCCAGCAATTAATTCCATTCCTAGATATTTACTCAAGAAAAATGAAACCGTGTGTCTTCAAAAAGTCTTGCACATGAATATTCATAGCAGTTTTATAATAACCAAATACTGGAAAGAACCCAAATGCCCAGCAATTTGGTTAGATGAATAAATTGTGGTACATTTATGCAGTGGAATATTACTCACCTATAAAAAAGCACGAACTGCTGATGTACATAAGAATTCAGAATACTCTCAAGACCATTATACCAAGTAAAAGCAGGCATAAACAAAAGTGAACATACTATGTGGTTCCATTTATGTGAAATTCTAGAATAATCAATTAGTGACAAATTACATCACTGATTGCCTTGACGAAGGGTTGGGGTAGGGGACTGGCTGCCAAGGGGAACTTTATTTTATTGTATGTAAATTACACTGCAATAAAGTTGGTTTTTTAAAGGATAAAAAATACTATCAACAACTACTTGCCAATAATTTTGAAAATTTACATGAACTGGCCAAATTCCTAATAAAATAATTAAATAGAACTGACTGAAGAGGAAATAAGAAGCTTGAAAGCTTGATTGGTACTAAAACTATTAATAAATGGAAGCAATGGTTAAAAATCTTCCCACATAAAAATGTAGAGCCATATGGTTTTACAGGCATGTTCCACCAAACTTTTAAGCAACAGGTCAGCCCAGTTTATACAAATTCTTCCCTGCCATGGTAGAAAAAGGACCACTCTCCAACTCATTCCGAGAAGGCGGCATAACACATATAAAAAAGAAAATTGTAAGTTTGTTTCACTTGGAGAAATTCTAAATACATAAGCATGTCAACTTCAGTAGTGCATGTAAAGGACAGTACTTTACCTCCAAGATGGGCTTCTTCTAGGTAGGCAAAGATAACAAAAACTGGGAAATCCATGAAAGTAGTTTGCTGCAATAATAATTAAAAGAGAAAAAAAGTGGTCATTTGAATAAATGCGATAAATACATTTGCTAAAACTCAACACCCAAGTATAAGTTAGATTGTTTTTCATTTTGATTATGAGAATGTTGTTAGCAAGACTGAGAAAGGTATATAATCAGAAATGGAGAGGCTTCACTGTTCTGATAAGTGACCAAGAGACACTGATGGAGAACCCGAGGGAGGCTGTAGAACAGTGTCTATAAAAGCAGGGATGCTGGAACCACACAACTCTGGACCATTCATGGCTCTGCCATTCGCCAGCTCTGTGTGACCAAGGATAAGTTACTTATCTGTCTCTTCTGTGGGAGGTATTATCCTGGGCTTAACGAGTTAACATGCGTGAAGCACTTAGCACCATACTGTCATTTGCTTTTCAAATACTGTCTTTTATATATTACTGTTAAAACACACACAACAATATATTGTTCTCTTTAAACTCATCTCCATCTTAGCCAAAGGCTACATTAATGACTACAGCTTGTCTTTGATAAAAGTGTGTCCCACTCAGATCACACATTGACTCCCTTTGTCTGTGTCCCAAGGTGAGTGATTTCACGTGGAGCCACGATGGGACTCAAGCGCTTATTTCGTATCGAGATGGGTTTGTCCTGGTTGGTTCTGTCAGTGGACAAAGACACTGGTCATCTGAGATCAACTTGGAAAGTCAGATCACGTGTGGCATATGGACTCCTGATGACCAACAGGTAAAACCTCTTGAACGTGGTGTGTGATGTTAGACTATGTGAGCTGAGGAGGAAATGCGTTCGGTACTAACACAGGGAAGAAGCCGTGGGGAGGCGGAGCTGGCCCCAAAGGCTCTTTGAGAATCACAAAGGAAAAGAACCCAGAACGTGTCCAGGTGAAAATGAACACAAAAATTTTAAATGAACCATAGATTGGGGAAATACTTCCCACCAATGTTCTGAACACTGAGTTAACAATTTAATTACAGAAAACATTCATACAGATTTTACTCTTAAATCTACATAGATAGCCAATTGATAAATGGATAATAGACATGAATTACTCACAAAAGAAGTTCAGCTAGTCAGTAATCATGGTGGGAAAGTATGTATTCTCAGGGAAAAATGCAAAATACCACAGTCAGGGTATATTTTTACTTATTAACAAAAAATAAAATGATACAGATGATTTTACTGATTATTCATAAGAGTTTAATCAAATAAGTATTCTCATTCATTGCTGGTGGTAATATGTATTAGACCTTTAGGAAAGCAAAGTTTTAATATAATTTTTAAGCAAGTCTTAAAAAGTATCTGCTTTGGCCTGGTAATATACTTGAGGCATTTATCTAAAAGAAACAAAAAGGGAAGAAAGTAAAAGCTATAGTCATTAAAGCATTATTTGTGATAGTGAAAATTTGGCAGCAGCCTACTAGTATGAAAGTAGGAGGCTGCTTAAATAAACTGTGGTACAGCCACTTAAAGGATCATATGGTAGTTCAGTAAGTTAGGGGTTGTGGTTACAGAGATGATGTAATGATCTAGAAGAGCTCCTACGGTGTAATGTTAAGGAAAACAAGCCAGGATACGAAATGGTATGTAATTACCACATCGTAAAGCAACCAGAAGAAACTGCCCACATGGTGAAAAGAACTGAAAGGAAATTAATCAAAATGCTGTAAGTAGGTGGTTACTGAATGGTGAAGAGCCTCTGGGTCATTTTTTTGAAACCTAATTTCAAATTTTTCTTTAATATGCCTCTTTTGCTGCCATGATAATGTAATAACCTAATAAAATTAATGTAAGGTTTGACTAGTTAAAACCTTTGTAAGCATATAACTTGTGTTGTCTAAGTACAGAAAAATCCATAAAACATGTCAGAACATTTCATACCGGAGACTTCAGTTTAATTTTGGTAAAATCAAGCAGTACATTATGAAACCATAACTAATTTTTTAATCTTTTTTTTTTACTGAATTGCTTCCATCTAGTCACTATATATTTCATGTTTCCATTTTTTCAGGTAAAATTAGCCAGTAATTTTTCCTCTTTCTTCCCAAACTATTATGAGAATTATGGAGTCTCAACTCTGTTTCTTGCCTTGCCTTCCCCCAAAGGTGTCTCGTTATTATATGAGTGCTTGTATGTTCCTTTGTGAAGCACTTGGATTTATTTATTACAACGTTTTATTTTTGTAGGGTTTTACTGCCCCTGCAGTCTGCTCAGAGACACATGCTGTGGCCCATTATGACCTTGCAGGCACTTAACTTCTCCCTGCTTCAGTTTCCTCCTCTGTGACAAAGGGTGTGAATTATTTCCTGCCTAATTCCCAGGACTTTTCAATGATCAGGATGAAGGAGCAGATGTGAAAGCACTTGAGAATATGTAAGTGGGAGTCTTGGCTTCACATCACTTTGTCACCTAGAGTGATGGAACCGTGAGGCCCACATCACAGTAGTTCCCCATGATTTGAGCCGCCCAGTGTTCCCAACCGACTGCACACCTGGAGTGTGACAGGCGCAGGCCCAGAGTGCTGGGGACACAGTGGATGAGACACCTGCCTTTGAGGGACTTGGGCTGGTTGAGGAGGCAGGCCCACAGGCATCCTGCCTGCTGCTGACACAGTCGCCGAGGTGGCAAACAGCGTGGTGCTGTGAGCGGGACAGAGAGGGACGGGCTGCTGCTTCAGAGCCAGGCCGAGGCCCTTGGACTTGGTTCCCTAGGCCTGTCAGCGGGACCTGAATGCAGCCTTTACAGGTAGCTGGGCCACGACCTTTGTCTGGCCCACGACCTTTGTCTGGATGACTGGTTTTTTTCTGCTTCTTTGTTTAGCACTAACTGGTGAAATTTAATTTGAGGAAAATGCTCCATTGCCTTTTAAAAAAGATTGTGGACCTTGGAGGAATTTAACACAGAGAAGAGATGTGTAGGACACTTTATGGGGCATGTTTGAACTGAGACTTGGAAAAACAATGTTCCTTCCTCCATCTGTCATTTTTCCATGTCTCTTGCTTGGTTTGAAAATTATTCATGAAAAGAGTATGTCATGTTGTAATGTAATGCCCTGAGCTCTTACACTGGGACGGCCTCAGGTGTGGACTGCGAGGAGCTGGCTGCATCTCTTCTCCTCTCCTGGTGGAACTCCTGCCCTTGGTGCAGAGTAAAACAGCCCCCAGGAGGCCTCCTCACATCTTGAGTCACTTCTGATCATGATGGAATTTTAGGCTGCTTCCTGTTAACTCTTTAAATTACGAACAGTGCTATCTTACAACAGTGAGTTTGAAATCTAGTCATTTTCTTACTTGTCATGTATTTTCTTCATCTTTGAGTGGTGATTTATATACTATTTTGGGATTTATAGACTACTTCAAATATCAGATAGAAACTGGGAACCTTTTCCCCAGAAAAATGTGCACCTGTACTTACACGATCATATATATCATTTGGCGTAGAATTTTGGGAACTCATAGGATTCTCCTCTGTTCAAATCCTGATCTAGATTGTTTAAAGGTGACATTTGGGATAATTTTCCCCAACTTTCTATTATGCAGATATTCAAACATTACAGAAAAGTTGAAAGAACATCCTCTCCTTTGGTTCAGCTGCTCACATTTTGTCATATTTGTCTTCTGCCTGTTTCTCTTCCCCTGCCTCCCTCCAGCCTTCGCTCCCTCCCCCCACACACACACTTTCTTCTAATACTATTTTGAAGTAAGTTGTAGCTGTCATGGCATGTGTTATGGCACTCCTAAATACCGTAGCTTGTATGTTCTAAGAATCAGGTCATTCTCCTACATTATCACATCTAAGAAAACAGCAGTGATATTATTTGCTATTCAGGCTGTCTTCCTATTTCCCTAATTGTTACAAGAATGTGTTTTATAGACTTCACTGCCCCCCCCCTTATATTTAGAACCAGGAACCAGTTCAAAATGTGCAGCAGTTGGTTGGTATGTCTTTAGTCTGGAACAGTTTCTTCTCTCTCTTTTTTTTTTTAAATGACTTCTTTCTAATGCCTTCAGTGTGGTTACCTCATGGAGTGTCCCTTACTCTGGGTTTATCTGGTTGTTTATGCATGATATCATAGGTCTAGATGAGAGTTGGATTAAACAGGTTTGGTAAGAATATTTTAGAGGTGACATTATATTCTTCATACTGAGCCACATTAACCACAGGTGTATAATGTCGTGTTATCCCACAGTGAAGGTTGCTGAGTTTGGTGGAACCTCTGTAAAAACAAAATTATTTTTCACAGTGTGTTCTTAATTTCATCTACACTTACAGCTACTTTTTTCAAGTGATGTGTTTCATTTCAAGCTAAAGTTTGTCTTCTGTTAAATGTCAGGAAAGGAATGTGATCCTCCCTGGACTGCATATAGTAGGTGAGGACTCTCTCAGTCTGCATGGGCTGCTGTCACAGAATTCCACAGCCTGGGAGCTCACACAACAGACAGTTATTTCTCACAGTTCTGGAGGCCGGAAGTTCAAGGTCAGATGCTGGCAGGTTTGGTTTCCCCTGAAGCCTCTCTCCTCGGCTTGCAGATGGCTGCCTTCTTGCTGTGTCCTCACGTGCCCCTTCCTCTGTGCTCTCATCCCTGGTGTCTCTTTCTCTTATAAGGACACACATTCCTGCTCCCTGTGGCCACTGCTTCTGACTCTTTGCTTGTGTTTCCCTCCACATTTCTGAATTATGGGCTTATTTGCCAAATCTGATGGGGCCTTGGCTGTCTCAGAACGCTCCCTTCCATGGCCGCCCTCCTTCCTCCCGCCTCCCACCCTCCCAGTATGCTCAGTCTTCACGTCTTCCTTGTACAGTCGTTTGCTTTTTCCAGAATTAGTAAAATTACCTGATTTATTTGCTTGGTTGTCTATATACCAATCACAAATTAATCCCTACGCTCTCCAAAAAATGGAAAATCTCCTCTGAATTGTTCTACCACTCCAAGTGGTGTGTCCGATTCACTTATCTCCCTCCCAGGGCCCTCAGCCGCCTGCTCTGTCCTCAGCTGGTGGTTCTTGGCCCTGCAGCACATCGGCGTGCTGTGCACATGTTCCCTCACCTCACCCTGCCTTAGGATCCCTGATTTATGAGATCACACCCTTATTTTTGTGGTTTGTCCCCTCATTTTGATGGAACACATCTTCAGAGTGTTTTAAATTTCAAGATGACGTACTTTGTCTGTTCAGCCCCTTCAGAGAGTAGGATGTGCACCTGCCTGCGTGGCTGGGAGAGAGGATGCGGAGGGCTAACATTTCCCTTTCAAGACTTCCAGCCAGTCCTGTCTCCCCTCCATCCCTCACCTCCACCTGGGAAGGAGATACAAATCGGCTTGCTCCTGCCTTCCCTGCTGTAGGTGGGGCTCTGGTCCACTCTCACTTACATGTGCCCATCTGTATCCAGTTTCTGGATGTTAACTTCTCTGCCTGCTGACCTCCTCTCTCCAGTTCTCTGTTAGAGTTTCAGGCCCATTACTGTCAATTGACTGGGGTTTGGGAAGGTGTCCGTCCATTTGCCGCCCCTCATACCTTTCTAGCCTTCTCCCTGCCCTGCTCCCCGTCCACACTCGCCAGAGTGGACTAGTTTGGTGTCCCAAACTCTCATTGCTTTCCTGCCTTTGCACATGCTGTTCCTTCTGCTCTTGCCCCTTGTCTGTCCAGTCAGTTTCCACTCATCCTTGATAGGTCAACTCAAACATCGCCTCGTCTGTGCAGTCTGCCCCCTGCCACCTTTTTTCTGCTCC